CAACTGCTGCATGGACTTTGACAGTGTTAAAGTGCTTTTTTTATTACATAGTGTCCATTTTCTGTCCTGTTTGGCATAACATTCTTTGAAGAAATATGCTCCTCATTTTGAGTTTTGAGGTTAAAGCCAATGCGTTTACAAAAGAACACGGTTACAAATTCAATTTGGGGAATAAAATAGATCATAATATTGCATTGAACCTGGTATTTTAAACAGTCAGAAGAAAGTTGTATGTGATTATGGCGATCTATTGGAGACCATTCAGGTTTAGGGCAGAGTTTTCAAGCACCAAAATTGATAGGTTTTTGTGCAACATTTTCTGACAGTCTTTTGAATAACTGCAATCAAGCTGCCTTGTGCAACTTCAAAGTGTCATTACTTGAGGTGTGTTGCCATGGAGACGTCAGTGGATGTGCTCATCAACTAACGTGTGCTCCACCCATTCCACAGCATCTACGACCTGCCTTTGGTTAGTGCCCCTGTAATGACAAAATATAAAGATTTCACTACAACAATTTGGAACTATTCAAAGTTTCTTTTCAATGTACTGAGGAGGCACAATGCTCCTGCAAGATATTAGATTTTCTCATTCACTTTTTTCACTTTTATTTAACTGTAGGCAGCTCTTTTGGCTATGATACTTTTGTTCAAGGAAGGATCAATTTTCGCTATATTTTGCTGATATGTCCAAACAAAGGAATTTCACTCAATGAACAGGTATTATGGCATATGTTGCTAGAAAAAAGTAAAGAATCTACCCTTCCCTATCCAAAAAATGGCGACTGAGGGTAAAGGAATCAAGGGAGTTGGGGTTTTTTCACTGCCTAAAACTTTTTACAAAAAAACCAAAGGAACATACCACTGAATCCAATCTGGAAGCCTTTGCCTTGGTGTGCCCATGGTGATCAAAGACTCGGTCAGTGGCTTGTATCTGGCCACTGGGCACTTTAGCCAACAAGGGAGTTAGTCTCAAAGTGAGCGGTCTTCTGCCATCATTGTTAAAAACAGCAACCTTCCAAAAACAACAAAGCTAAAATCTTACACATCTGTGGAACAAATGGACTTGTTTGATTGGACAGGATTCCGATCAACAGCTAAAGGACGTACATTTGAATCTCCATCTGTTTGCCTTTTTAGCAAGTTCTTAAAATTTTAATACTTCAGACAATTTTAGACAAATGTGAATTGCTTGCCCCCAAAAATTTGCCGAGATTTCAGGATCCACAAATATTTGGTAAACACTACCAATGCAAAACGAGACTGATGAAGAAGATGATTTCAGTTTAAGTTTCAGGCATACAGGGGAAAGTTTGTGCTAAATTCAAGGCAAAATTGAGTCTACAATCAACAAAACGAGGGCAATTGGAGGCACAACTATTAAGGTTTTTTGGGAAGATGGTGGAGCAGGAGGCCACCAGTGCATCTGTTGCTGCTCACCGTGGCAATATGCCAGTATGCATTACGCAGGATTTGATCATCACGTCCATACTCCCTAAGCGTATCACTTCAGAGTTCATTACCTGTCATAATGCAAAAGAAAAAAGAAACTATTATCAAAAGCGAAAAGCATTTCAATTTAGCACATTTTCTTGTGGAGACTTGATTCTGGTTTTACAGAAAATATTGAAAATGTAGAAACTACATATTGAGAATTAATCTCCAGGTGTTTTTTTCCCATATAACCTGAAATATTTGAATCAGTTTAGAGCTTTTCAGTCAACAGTCTCATGCAACGAGGCAAACAGTACATGGTGTTGAAGTGTGCTGATGGACAATGAATGCCACTTCCACATCGTGAATTTATTGTAACTCTGGAATGGAGTCTCTCTTTTAAAATAACGGGAATTCTTGAGAAGTCTAGGAATCAACAAAGTTGTCTCGATAAATTACGTTGTTGA